TTAATCTAAGAAACTGGTCAGAATAATCATTTATTAAATGTTATTCAAAGGTTTATCTATTTTATTTTGATACAAAGACGAATAGCGGAATCATAACTACGAAAGCAATTTTTTATCACCATATGATGAGCTCTGATGTAGAAATCTGCTGATGTGAAAAGTAGAAATGTTTTCAAATCCAATTTTCCACAAAGCGTGCAGCGGCTGTCAAGTATTGGTATTTCAAAGCTACAAAAAATTTGTTTTATGTGAAATATGTTATTGATATTTTGTTAAATAGGATTTTCCAACTGCGATATACAAGCAAAAGTAAACGTTTCATTTCGCGAACTTGTTGGTAGGCTACGTTGGTACTTCATTTGATTTAAATTATTCAGTTCTTCAAAGATAATTTTTTACTGCTCATTCGACCTATACTCTATGGTGGCTTTTCTAAAGGTGCCCAAATTCACACAGGAGGTTACACTCGGTAGTTATAATCGTTTAATAAAATAAAAAAGCTTTTTTTTCTTCAAAAAATTATCTTTCTGTTCCCTAAAAAACAGAACTTGTTGACAATGTGGTAGTCATTCATAAATGCGTCGTATACTTTCGAAACGAACTTGTGTGCGTTAGTTATGAATCATCGCGAGTAAAATAAATGAGTTGTCCATAAATCACGCACTTTTTGAGATAAGTTAAAATGAATGTAATTAATTAATTACGAGTGATTTTAAATATTTTTAAAATAGTCATTTTTATATAACATTATTTATGTCTAGAATGTAATAAAAAAAAATGGATACACTAAGAAAAGCCTCCCTTTATAGGTACCTATAATCGAAATCAAATCCGATTAGAAAATATAGCTCGGGAATACAAATTATTTTCTTTTCCTTTTAATTTAGACCATGAGTCTACTACCTTTTACATTGTAATAAGCGTTTAAAAATTATCTTATAAGTGAATATTATTTTGTTTTGAAAACAAAATTTAATTTTTATTAATTAGGTACAGAGAAGTTCATGTTATCAGGTCTATTTCTCATGCGAAGTAAAATATAAGCAGATAGATGAGATCACGTGTTGTTAATCAACATAATGTTATAACTGATGACCAAGTCATTGTAATACTGACACGTTCGCGTCACCATTGCATCGTATTACAAAATGACATAATCAAATACGTGTTGCGATTACTTCCATTATCACCCTACAATAAAAGAAAACTTGTACTTCCGACTTTGATATAAATTAAAAACTAACACAGAGATGTTACATTTTATGTTGATGAATGTAATTAAATTTAATATTTCGAAAGACGGAAAAATGTGTTTATATTAGCCGAATAACGATGTACTATGGATTCAGTTTAACACCGCGATGCAAAATAGTGTTGCTGGCAGTTAATAAACACACAAGCCAGTGCATACTGTATGAATAATTTGATGGATTGACGTTTTCAATTTGACTTTGTTGCGCTCGGTTTACACTGCTGTTAAGGCCAGTTTTGACTGACAGAGCAATCCAGGACAGTCGAATGAAAGACCAATTTTCCGTGTAGAAATACCGAACACTTAATTATGTACTGCTCTTTAACTTATTTTGGAAACACTGCCATTAGATTGACGGTATATAATTACCTATTGTGTAACTATTAACCTAACTGTGTAAAAGTATTATTCCTCGTTTATATTCAACTATTTTTATTTATCATGGAAGCACGTACTTATTTGTTTACGTTCTTCATATTTTTGATTTAATTGAAGCAAGACCAAAAATTTTTTGTACACCGACACAGAACCAAGGTATATTAATGTTTAGGATCAAAAGCGGAACATAACTTTATCAACTGTGGCAGGGCCACGCAACAGTACGCAGGTCCGTCCTGGTAAGTAGTACGACTTTACGGAAAACCGGCGTGAATTAGAAGTGTTGTACTTCTGCGTATCGTCTGGTTAGTGAGGTAGCCCAGCCCACTTTATTAAACGGTAGAAACAATTCTGCAACCCGACGGGTGTTGCAAATGTTAATGGACGGCGATTGCCACTTAACATCAGGTGAACGGCCAGCTCGCTTGTCACCTTTTCTCATAAAATATTCCACAGCCCCGCAGTCTACTGTAAATGACTTCCTTTACACTCTATTTACGCTTAATATCTATGGATTTTTATAGTTTCGTTTAATACAAAGGCAGTTAAATATCTCCTGAATAACCGAACATAGCACATAAACAAATATTTTCCAATATCATCATTGCGCTCACATCACGCTTGTCACCTTTTCTCATAAAATATTCCACAGCCCCGCAGTCTACTGTAAATGACTTCCTTTACACTCTATTTACGCTTAATATCTATGGATTTTTATAGTTTCGTTTAATACAAAGGCAGTTAAATATCTCCTGAATAACCGAACATAGCACATAAACAAATATTTTCCAATATCATCATTTCATATTCATCTTTGACTAGACATTGACAGTGGAGTTGTTCGGAAGTATCGCCATCAAAGAAAGAAATACAACCGAAGCAGCGTCCCAAGACTATTGAAAAGGGTGACTGGGATGTGAAATGTGTCATTCGATTCCGGGACGTCTGTATCGCCGTTTGTTTGCACTGGCCTTGTCCGACATTGGAATATTCTACGAGTCTTTTGTTCAACAGAGAGCGGCGCGTGTAACCTTTTGCCTTTAATGTAAAAACGATAATTCAAGTTATATTAGAGTACATTTATTATGTTATCTGCGATAGTTTTGATGGGTCTAAGAAGTAAGTAAGAAGTAAGACTTAATAAACTAAATCATATTTAACTATTTCGTTTTAATTATTCTTTATAAGATCTTTTGTCCGATTCCAATGAAAGAAAACAGTTAAATTATTTTTCTAAACACGCACTATAGGAACACTTTGATGACTCCGTGGCATAGTTGCCAAGGTATTGACTTCGGCGTCAGGGGTCATGGCTTCGATCACCACACGGGACAACTCTATTTGTGTGACCAACAAATAGTTGTTTCGCATCTAGGTGTTTGTCCGCGTGAAATTTATGTATGTAAATCTTCCTTACAACACAGGATATTGTTATTCTATCTAAAGCAAGGGCAATGTTTTTTAAAAAGAAAAGTAAAGGAACGCCTAAATTTTGGAAAATAACATATTTAATTTATTACATTACTTAAGTGTAACCTCATTTTTGTGTTGTAGTTTATTTGTAATTCAAATATAAATATTAGGTGTAGGTATTTGTGCTAATCAAACTATGCTACGTTTCTGTATGTGCATTCATCTCAACTGACTTTGCCTCTGAATCTTAATTTGAGTTTACAAGTTGACTCGTGCGAATTTTTCGTCATAATAATCATGATCTTTCAAGGAACGGTAATATTTAATAACGTGAAAAGAAGTAACTATCATTAAAAGTCATATTGAAGAGGAGGAGTAGGGCACATATATTTTGGGTGTTGTTTTTATATATCGTCTGCTGTTCATAGCATTATTTTCTTCTAGTAACAACTTTAAAAGCGCTTATTCATAAAGATCATATGAAAATCTAAAATGAAAAACTTCGTTCACAAGACTACAGGCGTGTTCGATGTAAAAAAATAATGAGAGGCACGGGCACGGGCCACGCAAGGAAAAAAATATCGTGGGTGTAATAGTAAAAATCCTGAAGTGTTGCATATTTGTAGCGAAATCAAAACATTTATCGCTATAGATCCTAGAAATTTGAGAACATTTTTACGCAGAAATTCAATCCAAACTGGGATTTAAAATAATATAACTAAATGTCGTAAATTTTAACAATTATTGGTACGGACATAACTTATGGCCATCATATCGAAGTAACGGTTTAAAAGTTCTTTTTCTATTTTTAAATACAGAACGAATACCCGTTTCATTTAAAAGCTTATTTCTTTCAACTTACCGGTTGGTCTGAGTCCACTTGTTTATTTTCTTCTTTCGGCTCACTTTCATTTGTGTGATCTTCCTCTGATTGATTTAAGACATTGGACGGGGTAAACAATCTTTCGGCTGCTCCCCGCCGAGGATGTTCTAAAATCATGAAAAAGTATTTCCGTTAGCATTTCTAATTAAATAAATTTTTCGTCAAGTTGAAAATATCGTCAGGATAAAGTACATTTTGCCTTGTAATGTGCTAGTACAATCTTTCATTTGATTTTATTGAAGTGCTAGCTGGAGCCCACGACTTACGTCTGCGCAGGATTAGTTGTCCTATCTATCTTTATACCAAAATTCATCAAAATTGGTTCTGCAGTTTAGTCGTGAAGGCGTAGCAAACATAGTTACTTTTAAAAACCCTTGTATCTTTATAAATTATATACTACTAGCTTTTCGCCCGTGGCTTCGATGAAGCCCTTAAATAAATATCTTTTTTTTTTAAATATATATTTTTTTAGTAAGAAGACACATCTAAGAATATGTGTACAAAGTTTCATGATAATCGGTTGAGTAGTTTGGCGTGAAAGCGTAACAAACTTACATTCACATTTATAATGTTAGTATTGCTAAGGGTTTAAGGATATGAGAGTCTGATGTATAAGCTATATTATTGTTAAGTTTCATTAGAATCCATTCAGTAGTTTTACGTAAAATGCAACATTGAATTATAATCGGGTTATGGTGCCACCAGGTAATATTGAATGTTATAATATTTTGATAAATAAAAAAATTATTTATCAAAATTTGTAGGTTTTGATGTGAAAACAACATTATTTTGTTGTAGCCACCTATCTGCTCACAACACTTTGAATATTGTTTTGAATGTTATAAAGCGAGGTGAAAAATATAAACTTCTACATTTGATTGCGTACCATTTATTGTTATCAGTGTAAGTACATATTAAATTATTATAAGTCAAACTCTTTCTTCAAAAAAAAAATTGAAGAACCATAACGTTACAGGATTCTAATGTGATATACTACTTTAAAAAAAACAATGGCGACAGCTACAACTAGTTGTGACAAAACTAAACAGTAAAAAGCTATTATAGATTTGGTTATAGATTTTCTACTTGTAAAATACTATTGAAGTAATCAGTGAGACTTTTAATTCTTCCAGCGTTTTCATCTGTAATTTTAAAACGATGGTTTAGTCGATTAAATAATATAGAAAATTTATTACTATTATTTATTTTTAAAACAAAAGATTTCATTAATAATTCTTATTTCAGTGGTTATACTACCACTACGTTTTTAGCAGTGACGTAAAATATCGCGAGGAAAGATTACAGCCAAGAGTTAAATATGGCATGGCGGGAGTACATTTAACTTAACAGTTTTAGATTCTTACATAATATATTATAAACCATAAATAACACAAGTGCAGATTTGGACAGTACATAGGATGTAGTCATAGGTGAATATCAAAAAGTTCTTTTAATATATAAAAAAGAATCGTACATGTCCGAACTGCGCAAATAGCCATCCTTATTGCACGAAATGAGACAGACAAGCTTGATACCTTTTTTGAAGTGTCAGATATGTTAATTTAACAATCGATATAAGGCCCTATTAAATATTCTACAAATATATACATACTTTACTAAATATAATACATGTTAATAATATTATTTGATAGAAAATAGTGATAAAGATATTTACGAATCTCAGGCAATCTCGTTAGCTCCCTCCGGAATTGCACTGAAAAAAAATCTGTTATAAGCTTTCCTTATTTACAGCGGTAACCATCGAGAGCAATCCTGTTTTTGCGGATAGTTAGTCTATGGGAAAAATTCATTGAAAAACTTTATGTCCGTACCTAGAGTCTAATCGAGCGCGCTTTTTTTTCAGTTAATGAGGAGTAGCGTAGAAAATATAGCTGGCATATAGATTTTTTTAAACACAGGTGGAAGATTTTACTTACCAAACTACTTTTCAATTTCTTGATATACCAAACGTCTTTCTGTAATTAAATTGAAGTATGAATATGTTAGTTTCTTTCTGTTCTTTTTTTCACTTTTTCTTTTTTTTCTGTTTTGCAGTTCGCCCGTAAATTTTATCATTATTTTTTTATGAATATCAATATTGATTTTTGTAAGTATTTTTTATAATTATAAGAAATAATAAAGACTATCTTATACATTTATAATAAATACGTGGTACAATATTGTTTACATGTTATCGAATTTTTGACAACGTAATATATAGGTTGTTTTTTAATATAACCCATATTTTAAGTACCTCGCTGTATACTGTAGTAGCCGTAAAGGCTTCACAGGTCAAAGACTCGGAAATACTGAGGCATGCGTGTTAAATGTAAGCTCAAATAATAATACTGCTTTTGAGCGCACTCAGCAAACTTTTTTTATTTCCGCTTTTATTAACGCAGTAAATCATCAGTGGAGGGAATTAAATGGTTTCTATACGCGTTTTTCAATTTCATATATTAATAACTGATGAATCCCAAACGAAGCATGCTATGTGTGAGAATCTTATCTTCAAATCTTGATAACTGTTATTAATTTCAAATGCTTGAAATTCCCATATAGAATTGAGGATACTTTTAAAATACAATATGTTATATTTAAAAAACCTGCCATGAATCCGATTAACAAAATTGAATAACCAATATATTGAAAACTTATAGATTGTCGTATAAATGTTTTATCTCCAAAAAACTTGATTTTTTTTTCTTTTTAATTAAAATCCAGATTACTTTAAATTATATTGGCTCGCGTGGCGTTGGTTTGCGGTATGTTACATACACGCTGGCAATATTATTAACCACGTTTTGGGGTGCAATTGCTTCGCCAGATTATCCCCGAAACCCTGATGACTTAAAATAAATAAACATAAGGCTTCTTGGCTTGTAAATTTTAATTGATGAATAAAGGCACAGATCATTTATAATTAAAATTTAACTGTTCAATCTCTAATAGACGGCTAGGACCATGTGATTTTCTAGCCTATGTAATAAATAATTTTAACAAACATTTCCGTCCGGTTAGTTAGATGCCAGTTAACGCCCCACTTAACAGGTCGATGGTGTTCTTATAAAATATTCCAAGTTATTGAAATGGGAAGTTTTAACCTGGCTGTTATTATTTTTGAACGCACCTCTGGGATCGCTCGAATTTGCCCCCGTAAAGTTCCTGCGACGGTTTTTTATTACCAAGCGACGTTTTTTCCTCAACTTCTCTGCCAGTGGTATGCCTTCGAATATTGAAAAACATTAATTTTTATCCATTACTTCAATTTACCCTTTCCTTCAAATATATTCACATATTTTCCAATGCATTACCACGCCTTTTAGGATTAGGGAATTTAATCTTGTCTTCCATCGCCTTGGAAAGTACTATGAAATGATAAAAAGTGAATTATATTATCAGATGCGAATAGTAGATAAATTATGAAATATTAAATAAACCACTTACAGTCGAATTTAGATATTCGTATTCCGTTGGACTTCCCTTTTTCTGAAAATTTCAAGTTTGGATTCATTATTCCTTTTCCAACTCATAGTAATCAAAGTAACGTCACCGTCTGTTAAGCCATCGTATTTGGCAACCCGACTAGAAATATTTTCATTATTTGGGTTTTTTTTATTTTTACTCCCAAGTAGCCAGTTTTGGTTTCCGCAATCTAAGCTATATTCGATGCCCGAATCACGTTATAAATTATATTTTGATAACATTTTTCTGATTCTAGTTTATGCCTTTATGTTTTTTTTATTTAATAGTATTGAAAATAATGTCGCCACACTATTAAACATGCTTACGTCCAACAATTAGATTTGTTAAGATTGCAACTTTACTTCAAATCTAATTTTTAATATAATTTATAAAATCGGCTTACCTTTCGTGTATAAAGAAATTGTATGTGTAAGCCGTTCTTCTGCACTTAATATTATTAACTGTTTGACACATATTTATTTTGGTAAATACGTAATGCCATTGCCCAATTTACCTTTTAAAACTAAGGCTTGAAGGGCGTCAAGTCCCAGTATGTCTGCTTCTACAAAATAAAGTTGTTTTCATTCAATCATAACGTCGCAGCTTTAACTAATTCTTAACTCTCATAAAAATCGAATTTCAATTAACAAGGAATACTTATGAAAGTTAATTTTATGGACATATTTAGGGCCGCAATCCTGATAGGCGTTAGTTTAATCTACACTGATTAGTGTGTTTTATATTTTCAAACAGTTTCAGGAAAGGGTCAATATCTCACATAGGTAGTATTTTTTGTGTTTATATCCCTCATTTCCACTAATTTATGAACCGATTTTAGAAAATTTCTTCATGGGTTCGTTCTAACTTTCATATGGTAATATTTATGGTACTGGACTTTGAACTCTGGAGGTACATCAGGTAACTCCTCAAAATCAAAAAGGAAATGTACGGTTAGCGAGATTTTTGAAGTCAGTTTGCTTTTATGGTGATAAATTTTATCAAAAGAAATATCTGTTTTTAGAATTTCTTTTAATTCTTTCTAAATTTAATTAAATACTAGACGACTCAATAGACTTTTTCCTGTACACACGTCTTAAATCCAACAAGTTATAAATAAAAAATACACCCAATTGAGAATCTAATCGAATCCATTTGAACACACACAAAAAGTTTCATCAAAATCGGTCCAGTCGTTTAGGAGGAGTTCAGTGACATACACACGCAAGAATTATGTATATAAAGATATGTACTTAATGAAGACGTATAAAGTAAACTTTTACCTTTGAGAATAACAATTCGCTTTGTTCTTTTGACTGTAATAAAAGAAATTTGGTAAAAGATAGTATTTAGCATGTGCATTAAAAAACAAAGGCAACAGATACATACAAATTCCTTTGAATAATCTATCTGCCACACTTTCGGGTCTTTTTGGTGAGCTTACCGATTTAGGTTTTTTTTTTAGTATCATATACTATCATATGTATATAAATATTATATTTTATGTGTCATCTTCGTACAAATACTTTTTTGTATCTTTGCTGTAAGTTAAAACTAACGCTGTACCTAACAATTTGTTTGTAATATTTTTGGTCATCTATGAATAATAACTACAGATATGAATAATAAATACAGATAGAATAATAAATAGTCTTCATAGTTAAAAAAACTAAATAAAAAGTGATACGAGTAGGGATAGAAGTGGGAAGAACAGTTTTGTTGTCTCTTTGCTCTCTAGTCGAATTTAATATTTTAAAACGTAATTTTCTATGGTTTTGAGCAATTTTACGATTATTTTACGAGTCAGGCAAAAGCAACTTGACACAAATATATCTTCGTCTTAGAATGATATCGAGGGAAATCTAAATGGAGTATGAAGGGAGTTTTCTTTATATGCAATTTCATTAATTGCCTGGCACTTAAGTCTATTATTGGCTGTTCAGTATTCACAATATCATTTGAAAATCTTATTAACACTGGCAATGTACTTACATTTGTGTAATAGCTTAATGGCGATTGGCACCATCTCAGTTGGTGTTAGGATGTCGCCTGGTAAAAAGAAAATATCACCACGTTGTTTCATTAAAAACGATTTTGACATTTCTCCCTATATTGTTTAAAGAATAAGTGTAATCCGAGGAAAGCCAGGGACAATTCAACCCAAAATATTAAAGGGATATTCGTGTCATAAAATGCGCTTGATCTGACGGAGTGGATCGCAGAGTGCGATGGAGTAGCCATTGTTTCAATCCTCGTATTGTGTTCGCTATGTTCTGGTAATGGAACGGCGTTTGTTTTTCCGCTGACGTCCGCTACTTTGTTCCAAGCTGGTAATCCTCAGCTGAGCTCTGTTTTCCAAAGAGCGCAACAGCTGCCTCCGCTCTTGCACGTAGAGAAATAGAGGAAGCAATATATTATTAGTGGACTTGCGACTAGCCATTTTTTTCCATAAGACGTGCTCCTGCGAAATGAGTGTAGGTGTTGAACATGCTTGCAATGTGTACCTTTATTACATGAGGCGAGCTGAGACTCGTTCCCATCTTTCGTGGTGGGGCACAGTTTTAATTATTACAAGGAAATATTTTTGAATGAATGATTGAATGAATGAATTAATTAATAGTTTACCTACGACTAAAAGTCGACGTATTGAGGGCCCTGAAATAAATAAAAATATTTCAGTAATTAATAAATATTTAAATAATTTTTATTGTAACGCAAGTGTTGTATCTGAACATAAAGATAAGAGGCGTTTGAAACATTATTACCTATAGTTTGTTATTATCACGAACTAATCTTCAGATTTCAAATCACAGACATCACGTATCTTAACTGATGTTAATGCAATCAGCCGTTAGTCTCGTGGTTAAATCGTCAGACCGCGAATGCCGATGACGTGGGATCGATTCCCACAGCGCGGCGGAACTTTTCGTACCTTTTCTACAAATTTAAATGAAAAAAAAGTGGTAAATGAAAAAAAAGTCGGGAAGAAAAATTTTTTTTAATGTCATACCGGTTTTCCTAAATAAAAGGTTGGTAAAATAATGTCTTTGGTTGATATAAATGTTATTGCAGTCTAATTATAACTTATTAGCTGTGCCCGCGACTTCGTCCGCGTTGTAACATTTTTACAAACGTTGAATGCCATATTTATTTGTATCTAATCAACAGGCTAAAATATAAGTTTTATGCTTCTTATTCTAAAAATGACAATAGTTTCATACTTTTCATCCCCCTTTTCAATACTAGCTTTTCGCCCGCGGCTTCGCTCGCGTTGAAGCCCTTAAATAAATATCTTTCTTTAAAAGATTTTTCCAATAAAAAATAGCCTATGTCCTTTCTCAGGCTCTAGACTATTTGTGTACCAAAATTCATTTAAATCGGTTCAGTAGTTTTGGCGTAAAAGCGAGACAGAGTTACTTTCGCATTTATATTATTAGTATGGATAAAAGGAATACTTGCGAGATCTAATTGTTGCATTTTCGGAACTCACACACGTAAACAGGTAAATCTGTGATAACATAAAAACAAATTACGACGTATATTTACATCAAAGTAGACAGGTTGTAACCGTCATTCGACGAATGACTCACAAATCCGAATAATGTAACGAACGAGCGTGAAGCGATGAAACGTCCCTCCATTTCGAAACACGTCTACTTTCGGCTCGTAACGAACTTAAGAGCTATGTCGGAAAAGCAATTACTATCGAAATTAAAATGCAGTGGGCATGTAATCTGTTAAATGGCGAGAATGTAAACGTAGGGACTTTTGTAATCAAAATGTGCCTGACGGGTAGAGGCCGCTTCGGACTCAACGCTTAGTCAGATCATATAAGCATGTCTAAAGAACTGAGAATATCTATTAATATTTGAAAAGGTTTCTAAAATATCGTTGATACTAATGTGTTTGTGTATACAGCTGAGGTAATACCGAATATATTCTGAATACCACGTTTGCTTATTCAAACTAAACTGAAAGGACTCTAAGACGAAGGTCATGAGATCTGACGTAACCCTCACAATTATTCGAGTTTTGATACCGATGTATCGAATGTGATACAGCATTCTAAGTGACCTTGTCACCATTAAATCTATTAACCCTGGAGCTACCAGTTATTTAACGGCATTTCGAGATGTCAAATGTGAGGATATGTTTTAAGAATATATACACAAATATTAACAAGGAAGTCGGTTTTTTGACGGAAGACAGATTTGGCTTTACTTGAAAGCAATAAAAGTAGTAAAAATATGATAACAGTTTTGAAGTAATTTTTTTTTTACTCAATTCTATAAAATTCAAGTGCCTTTGTATCATAAATTGTTTTTCACGGTAAGCGTGCGTGTCTTAATGTAAATGAGTACCGTATAATAGCTGAATACGACACATGTTTTATAGGAAGTACTTTTGAACTGCAAATTTGATGGATTGCTTACAATTAATCTAATCTAATAAAATAACTATATATTCTAAAACCGACGTGAAAGGGGTGTGCATAGTTTATTGCAGCTTAGTATGACAAATACGACCTTCAACTCATTATTATAGTCGAAGTCATGATTGGGGATCAATGAGACTGTATTGACATCGCGGGCACATCTCAACTTTTTCACCACGCGGGAAGTAAGTAATTGGAGATTATTTTACAAGAATAATAATTGAACCCATTTTGGTAGTAATAGTTCACGAATGAGCTGTTCTCAAAACTGGTCCGAGGAATATGAAAAAAGCAAGAACCGCTGCCTCCAATTATTAAAACATTTCGATAATTGATGAACAGCTTCATGACTTTAAATATTTATGAAGAGTGCATAGTTCTGCCTAACACAAGTTAGTGTCTTCGTTTATAAATGAATCAACTCCTTGTTAAAATCAACACCGGGGGCGGTTAGGCGCAGGGAAGTTATTTAAACGAAACTGAATTGAAATATGTACATAGAATGTTTATAAATGTCGCGGAGAGGGAATCATTTCTTAAAAAATAATTCAAGAACGATAATAAAAGTATTAGAATTTCTGTAATTGTTTTTTATCAACTCTAGAGTAATAGGTTATTCGCAAATTTATTTACTCTAAATAATAATAATCACTTTAAATTACTTTTAAGAACCTATATCACAATATTTGAAAGGAAATTTTGTTTTAAATTTCACCCTAAATGAAAGTGTCTAATTTAAATGTTAGGTACCGTAAGTGGACTCAATTCTTTTTGGCGTTCTGCGGCAATAAATTTTCAGTGAATAAATGTACTAGCTCTAAGTAATAATCTAAGTAAGTTAATACCAATAATTTTCTTAAGTATCTTTTATCTGAAACTATAGAATAGTGTGTACTGATGTTAGTAAAATTTCATTTAGAAATGACTATTCCACCAAATACTCAATGGCCATAGAGAGCCATTACAGCAAGGTCTTGGTAATTGCTGGACTTTTAATGCGTAATCATAACTGTCACTAGCCAACATAGCAAAATAAATACAGTGAAACTTCTGACAGCGATGAAAAGAAAAAAAAGTAATTAAAAGAAAAAAATATCCTATAAAATAAGAATCCCAGTGACTTGCTGGTAAGCGATTTATTATCGTGATAATTACATGTATTTACACCATTGAACATTACTGAATAAACCTATATTATGGATTTATCGCGTTAATTTTAATAACCGACCCGCTCCGGCTTCGCACTAGTGAAATGTACATTTTTTTATCGATACTTTTAGATATACATTTCAATGTTTGTTACGATATCACATTACAAATCTTTGATAATATGTAAATCTTCGGCTTGAATCACTCTTTCTATTGCTGAAAACCGCGTTAAAATACTTTACGTAGTTTAAATGATCTAAGCGTATAAACGGGAGCGACGTTGTTTTATACTATGTAAAAATTTTATTTCCCTACCTTAAGAACCCTTTTCAGCGTTCATGGTTACGGGCAGACTGAAGCATTGGACGTCTGAATGTAATTGTTATTCCGGGCGGGAGATTTTTAATTATTAATTTTGTGTGGACCTAAAATCTAAGAAAATATCGGGAAATAAAATTAAAAATAAGCGCGATGAAGCCGTAAATATGGTTTTATTCAGAGATTTACATAAATTTAAAAACGATTAAACGATGATTTATTTAAAAAAGATTAAACCACAAATGGCGTGAGTGCGTGCCGAGCTGCATCAGCTTTACTTTCGGGCCGCTCGCACCAACGCGTTGGTGAAAGGTTACTGCGCGATGACCCGCGACGGACCAGATAATGAACGAGCGAATGAATGATAGCGAACGCCTCCATTGTTGGACCACTATTTCACCACTTAGCAACTCTCACCGCAGCGCAGGGAAAAGACGCTAACACGTCAGAAATTACACACTTGCTTTGCAATGAGCGGCATTGTCCGTCCGATCTAGATTTCTTTCGTTAATGACTTCATGGGGGCTATCTGGAACGACCTCTATTGTTTTCCACCGCGATAATGTTCGGCTTTGTTTGCTTTAATTTTTAACAATTAACTCATAAATTTTCGAGACGCACGGTTCGTGAGGATTTCGTGCAAAGAATTCCTTGGAAATTGATGCTGTTACGACTAACGTAATGAATAATCGATTTGATCACAATGCTTAAGCATTTAAAGTAATAAATGTTATTTTCAAACGGTTATTTGAAGAAATGTTTTATTTAACGTAATCAAGATACAGTTTAAAAGTAAAAGGAATGAAAAGAGGTGCTTAAAGCGTACTTTGAATTATTTATGTTTCTCCGGCATATTGTGCATTACCGTCTTGTCTAGCTTCAACTCGAAACAATACTGGCTTAAATGTAGGTGACATTATATTTCACGGATTAGAGCTACATTCAGCTTCACGAAACACGTCTGGAACTTACATTGCCGCAGACGGTTGAATATTTTATATCTTAAATATTGTTTAACCTTTTATATGGTATAGTTGTCGGGATGTCGACAATGGCTTAGAATAATTTGCACGCTGACATTCCGAGGGGGTGCTACGTGGAGTATTAATTACACGCCTCTACACTTATTCAACAGCTTTATAACGTTTACTCAAAGGCCATTTAAAGGTGTTCCATACTTAACGCCGTATATCATTTGATGCTTTAGGTATCCTCTTCTTTGCTGTGGATTCGATAAATGTTTAAAAAATTAAAAAATATATATATGATTAAGATTACAATTACACTACTATAATAAGATACAATTGTCAAAGTGTTTCCATTACATAGAGGGCGATGTTTTAGATAAATTAAAAGAATAGTTAAAAATGTGCAATGCTTGGTTCATTGCAGATTTTTCTATAAAAATACAGGTTAATATACATATAAGTGACGACAAAGGGTATAAGTTATATAGTTGCTGTAGATATTTAGTGACGCCAACAGTTAGATCTATTTTTTAAATGCCGTACAATAACTCTGGTGGTATACGTGCTGGCATTTTCAATGTTTCGTGTACATTTCAAAATAAACTGATATGAGCTATGTTTAATTTTAGTTGAAGATACTAAATAAAGCGTCTTGATTCGCTGACTTTCAAGATCACCATCAGGTATCGGACCTATGACCTACTGCATCAAAGCCAATTGCATAACTGATTATGTAGTATGTCCTCGTAAAACTGTTTAATTACCTACATTTTAACAAAGAAAGAAATGAAGATTTTTTTTCCTTATACCTATACTCTCAAATAGGATCCTTTTCAGTAGCGGATTGTTGATATAATAAAAATAACATAAGCAACAAATAGTTGAAACAACACGTTAAGCTTCCCGACAGGTCTAACACATATGTGGAACGATAACGTCACCATAAACATTTATTTGGAACGTCTTATTCGACGAGTCAGGAGGGGCGAACGCAAAATCGAATTTGCCCGTACATCTTAGAGCGGTACCCACCTCCGACGCTAATGTCAAATAATTCTACCCGAAGCCCGATAGGGATCCGCCTCTCCGTCTAGACGCGACGGGCGCGCCAGACGAGTTCTGCAACTATCCAACAGCCTCTCAGACGCACCAGATCCATCCAGCGACGGATCTATTCTATGTGAAGAATGCCAAAGGCGGCTAAGGTGCTATTCTCGAGGTGTCGTCCTAAGCACACGGGCTGTCGACGCCGCTACAATCATGAGTGCACCTGAAATGCCGGCGTCAAGAATATTGACAGATTGAGACTATATGCGGCAAGCTGCTGTTAACACATAAACGATGAACTGTGACTGTATTATGTATATTTACTAATAGTTAACGATTTAGCTGAAATATGAAATGAGCCACAATAGCTCAGTGTCCGAGCGCTCGCTTTTAATTTCATCATCCTCATCATTTCAGCCTGTTTGAGTCCACTGCTGAACATAGGCCTCCCCCACAGACACGGTCCTGAGACACCTGCTTCCATCGACTTCTCGCATATTTGCACAGGTCGTCACTCCATCTACTGGGGGGTCCATATTGCGATGAACAATTGGAGTGTTCGCTTTTAATTTAATATACTCTAATAATCAGAGTTGAAATACTGGTTGCCACCAATGAAATTGTTAGTTGTAATTTTAGATGCTGGCTTATTATGAGCTGAGCGGTGAAGAAAAACATCGGACACACATACAACAATAAAAAAAGTATTGCAAAGTCCGCTAAT